ATTATCTATTATCTATTATCTATTATCTATTATCTATTATCTATTATTTATTATTTATTATCTATTATTTGTTTTTTTTATCTGACCCCCATTTCGTTTATCACTTTCTAAAATATTTTGTACCGTCGGTCTAATCTCCTATCGTATCTTACTCGCCTCTTCCCATACATATCGCCTTCGCTTTCAGCTTGAACGCGCTGTCCTAGAGAATCGCATCAAGTACGAGAATGAATTTGTGCTGGAAGAAGAGCTCAAATCGCGAGTATTTCGCAAGAAAATTGAAAACTCCAATGTGCGCTTGAAAGCGATTAAAACCATAAATGGCACCTATAGGAAAATGATTCAAGTGCTGCGACACGATGGCATCTTCTACGAGCCAATCTTGCGCTCGCTTAGCCAAGACATTGAGGATCAGGCGAATTTTATTAAGCATATTCTGTACTTGGGCATGCCAGCGATTGCGAAATTTAAGGAACTCAGTGAAGAGTATAGGGTAAGTACAGAGTGGGAATGGCAGAAAATCTTTTTAATGTCACAGAACAAAGAAGTAGAGAAATAGTTCACAAAAAAGAAACAGCATCTGATTGATTAAAATTATAAAATTCGTCTTCATTCAGCAAATGGAGGATAAATCGCGTAAAAGCATGCAATCGAAATTGCAAATGATGTCACAATATCGCAAAGATGCCAAACGATCGAGTTTACCCAAGCAAACGATCAAAAGCGGAGATCCCATATCGAAGGCTAAACGTTATGTACGCGAAACGACAAGCATGATGTTCCTCAAGAATGAGTTGGAAGTAATTGAGAATACAATAAAACAAGTAAAATTCGCCACGCTCTGTTCGCAAGCCAAAGAAATCTATCCGAGGTTAGTTAATCATAAATAATTTGTATCGAAGACTTTCTATATAAGAATGTTTAGCAGTTTAAAAAAAAAGCTCATGGCAGGGAGCTTTTACTAAACTTTAGAAATTCGTATGAAATGAGCTTTCGAGTTTTGTATGAAATGAGCTTTCGAGTTTCGAGTTTCGCCTTTAAGCGAATCTTTTAAGTGAAATAAAACTACGTGAAATCTTTCATTCTCCATTTCAATCCTCTGTTACGTTTCAAAGCATTTATAATTTCCAATTTGTCTATAGAATAAAATCTCAAATGGAAAATAATATCAAGCTGAATAAGATGATCGAAAACGATATGCTGGGCCATCAAACGCTGGAGATGAAAATGAAACGCGCTGAAGTATTAGAGGGCATATTGGTGAATAGCTTGTCAGAGCAGGAAATAGGGTGAGTAGAACAAATTTCCGGAACACATTTAAGTATCAATCAAGTTGATTTGCATAAATTTAGCCGTATGGAGCGTATACGTGAACTGAAGGATGCCATTAAAGCGGAGGA